AATTACTTTTTGTTTTACTCCTACTCCGCAGTATCCGCGTGAGGGCACTCGGATCTCGGTGGGGGGGTATGTGACGATTCTTTGTCACAACCTCTCTGTCCTGTATGTACTTCTTTCGGTAGGGCTACTCTCTTTTGTTCTGTTCTGTTCTTTGTCTGTCTTTGCGCGTCGATTTTTTTGGTTGAACAGAAGAAAAACCTAATCCAGTCTGAACCATTCTATGAGATGAGCACTAAGTGTACCAGACTTAACAATGACAACGACATACATTTTTTCGACAGAAATTTTTCTAACCCACGTCTAACACTTCCCACTTTCTATAGCTCTACAGAGCTACAGAAAGAAGAAGGAAAGATGAATTTAGGGCTTTTCTTGTGAATTCTATAACTTTGCAAAGAAAGATCATGTAGAGATGGAAGATGTCTCAATTTAATTAGAACTTCGCGGGCTACAGTTGTTACTTATTTAGAGAAACCGTTGGGGATTTTTCGAGGTTTCTGGAAAACTAGTTTTTCAGAAACCGGTTAGGAAAGGCCTATGGGGAAAAACGGCTATCATATTCGGAATCAGCAGACTACCTATAGTCCGCTAGGGAAGACCCTAGTATAACCACCATTTTAAGAGAAAATGAGTTTTTACTGATTGTTTCCGCCTTTTTTTGCTTTCTTGCTTTCAGATATCATCTCTTACAACACGTATTACTTCTGAACGACGGAATAGAAAGTTTTTTCCTTTTAACCATAAACTAGTCTCTATCTGTGCTATAAATTTGAGCCTGATCTTTACCGCAATGGTCACTAGCTGCTTGATTTTCTTAGACAATGTCTCTTTACGAGTGTTCTGGATGCCCTCGTGGACTCTTGCAAATCTAAACTTTTCATCTAGAGCACTTTATCAGGACTATTAACCTTAGTATTAAGTGGCATACGTATACATAATTCTATTTTCATTCATTCATTAGATATTAAAGTTACTGATACTGATATTGTTCACACTGAACAAGATGAATTGGTTATATTTCAATGTGGACGGTTTTGGTTAGACCGACATATCTACTTTGCTTATCGCTATGATTATGATTTTGAACAATTATTTATCTATACAGTACTCTATGAGAGCAATGAGTTGCATTTATCATTAAACAGAAACAAATTAAATCATCCAATAAATACTTTTCCGCCGACACAAATGTATGATTTGATCGATATTCTTCTATTAAACGTTCATGCTTCTTCTTCATCGCAATTTCAACAACCAGTTCCATTCTGGACATATAAAAATATAACTCGGTTATGTATATACTTGAGGTCGGCATTTGCTTTAAGTCGATCAGCGTTAGATTATTTGCCGCACATACTAACTAACAATAATAAAATTTATTTTTTAACTCTAAGCAGAATACAACCGGAATTAATTGATCCGCAATTATTGTGTATACTGTTGATTGCTCATCTTGTTGGCGAACCTGTTTGTCGTGGAAGGAAAGGAAAGAAAAACAAGAATAATGTTTCAAAATCAGATTCATCAGGTGCATCGTCAGATGAACATTAGGCTACGCTTTACTTGTATTTTCTTCATATTAATCTCGCTTTTTTCTCTAACTACTGGTGAAAACATTTTAATCATTTAGGCATTTAGGATGAAGAAAGCTATCAAATTTATTTTTTCCATTTGTTCTGTCCATTGGCTACCTGTATATTACAGTGAATAACTTAATCCAGCAAAAAAATTTGATTTGGGTAAAGTGAACACGAGTAATGTGAACAGTCCTAGTATCTCAGATAAAGTGTCATCGTCTGAGGGGTGCCATGAACGTGTTCATTTTCTTCGAATTTCAAAAATTTGTTTTGAAATACCCAACAGGGAAAAGGCGGATTCGGTATTCCGCGTAGATCCGCAAAGATCCCATGGATCCCTACGCATCCCAAATTTGTCCTAAGAGTACAAACGCCTTCTATAAACTTTTAAACATTTTAAGGGCTCCCCCCCCTCAGAAATTATCTCCGACACATTGACTAGAATAATAGACGGACCATACAGTCTATGTGAAATTGACTGGAGTGATAATGCTCACAATAGTGGCTTCCAAAATCGTTAGTTTTCCAGTAGACCGGTCGCTGTCGCGCAGACGGCTATATTGGAATCAGAACCGATACAACCAAAAAACAAAATGCAAGAAAACCGGTATATCGATTTACATCTATAGTGCCCCTTAGCAAAATTCTGGCTACGGGCCTGGCTCTATCCAACCATGTATAAATGAACGAAACACAAAATCTTGTGCGAACTTTGAATTACTAGCCCTTATAAATATTGTGCATATGAGCGAAACTACAAGTCCCTATTTGCTAGTTCATAGTCAGTTACTCAGCAACAACTATGCTTAAGTAGGTATGCGTTATTTTTCTATTTTGGCATTACTTAATACCTTCAGGAAAACGGTGTAGCTAGGTGAAAGTTATGGAATATAGGTAACGCAGGATGGCATCATTGGAGAATCTTTAGGAATTTCCGAAAAATGTTTGTATATGTACCAATTTCCAGGTCGAATCTGGGGGGGAAATGAAGTTATTTTCTTTCACCTGTGAGTAAATATGAGTAAAAATATTGTCAAACAAAACAAGAAAAGAAGTAAAAGAAATTCGAGATTATCATATTGAAAACAGAAAAAATGTAGAGCGAATGTATAAATGCAGAAAAATCTTCATATTTTGAATTCCGATAATACCTGACAGTTGTGCACAGCTATCAATACTTATGTGTACTACATTTAGTACACATAAGTATGTATATACAGTGATTGTGACAAACGCTTAAATATTTGGTGCGCAAAAGAGATTGTATGTATGTCAAAAATATTTATGGGTCTGTGGACGCATATTCTAGTGGAGCAATAACGTGGATCGCTACTGTATGGTATTTGGAAAAAAAAGTCATTATGTTGTACAATAACGTAAATTGCAAGTGGGTGGAGCAAACAGGGCAAATACGTAGAATGTAGTACAGTTGGTAATACTGATTGAGTTGTTCCATTTACAGGTATTATTATTCGCATTATAACAAACCATTCCAGTTGTTGTTGAGCCAATGGCTGATGGATAGATTCCGCTATACCATCCAGGTGCCGCTGTACCACAGTGATTGATACTTGGTGCACTTTTGACAATAATTGTACCCGCACCACCTGAAAATCTTACAAATTTCGCTGATACGTTAAATATGTTATTGTCACAAATTGATCCACCTCCGTAGGCAACATTATGAGTTGAATCATTAATTGTTATATAAGAGGAACATTGATATGGTAAGCTAACTGTGATCGTTTTGATTGTGGTCGTTGTAATTTCTAAAAAAGATTTATTATTTGTACAGAATGGAACTTAAAACTATGCATGCGTAGTATAAAATATAGTAGATACAAATTAGTTTCTTCTATGACAACAAGTATGTTTTATTTGTCTGCATTCCGCAAAACAACAATTAAGTCTGTTACGTGCTACTAGACTCTTTAGGATTCTCATTATTTTCTTACTATCATTCCGGCTAGTAGAGTGTCTGTATAAGAAAACAATTTAAAGAATTGGGAGAAAACAGAATCTCTTATATCTTTAAGAAAAATAAAGCAGTAGAGATTAACACTTTAAGAACAACAGAACGGGGCCTGGAAATACTAAAAATACAACAGACTTTAGTTAAATATTGTTTAGTTTTAGATGATTTTTCAAATTCAAGACAATACAATAATTAACATATAAAAATAAAAGAGACGTAATAAAATAAGGTTCAACAAAGTTTTATCAGCTCCGCGATTCGTTCTAAGACAAAGTCATGCACAGCTGATCTTTTTCACTCTCATATCTGCTGTTAATGCTATGGCTTCAAATGTTACTGCAGTCTCTGTAGCTGTTAGTTTTGACATGCTTTAAATTAAGTCATTAACCCTTTACACCCGAAGACACTTACTATAGCACTTTACTATAGCTGCAACTGAAATAACTACTGCATTGGCAATGCAGTAGTTATTTCAGTTGCAGCTATAGTCATCATCGTCAGCCTTATACTGACGATGATGCAGTAGCATCGAAATATCTATTGTAAATAAATTACAAATCGAAGTAAAATGAATTTAGCTGCAAATAAAATTGAAACATTTAGGTTACTCTGTTCTCTTACATTAGTAATAATCTAGCTTTTGGACAGATGATCCGTTCTTTTTATAAATCTGTTATATCAACGTTTCTTGAAAGGGACTGGCGGGTGCGAATGGTTAGTACCTCTTATGCTACTGTTGTTTTTTTAGCTGTATTATTTAGATTTCATAGATATTTTCAGCCATGGAAACGGTATAAGAAGTTGGATCTTTCTAAACCGATGGTGTTTTATTTACTCTTTTAGGGTTTCAGCACCTTTTGACTTCAAGTAGAAATTTTTCTTACAAATAATCTACCGCAGGAAAAGCTTTTTCCTCTATAACCGGAGGTGTTTACTTCTATTTCGACCATGAATTAATTTTTCTAACTGTTAGCGTGATAGGATAATCGAAAAGACGAGGACGAATAAGGTTATTTCTTACGACTTGATGTATTGGCATTATTAAATTTAGTTTCTAATCATAACTATTGAGTTTAGTTTCTCGAAATAGAACTAGTAGCACTTAGTTCATGAGGCTCTAATAATTAAAATTGAAAATATTATGCTTGAACAAAAATTTCATTTCTAAAACGGAACTCAAAAAGTCGAACTTTCACGGCGCATGCGGTTAGCGAAAAATGGGCTAAACCGTCCTTCTTCTTTGTTAGTATTATTTATGTAGAAATTTTCTCGACTGCTGAGTTGGTCAACAGAGATGACAGTAATTTTGTTTCATTAATACACATACGGCTTATAGTTGTTGTCGATCTTGAGGTTGTACTTGTTAGTTTGTTTGTGCTTGTACTGGTTCCTAAAATAGAATTTGAGTCAACTATGAAACAGGGAAACATTAAATTTACATTTCCTGAAGTTTATGTTCGTGTTGGTGCCTCAGTATCATTCGTCCCTTACACTACGAATTCGATAGAAAAGCTTTTTAAAAAGATTATGGAAGCTACTGTTTGTTGATTTACTACATTGAAATGAGACATTATATAGTTGTTGCTCGTATTTTGCTTCAGCTTTAAAAAGACAAAAAAATCAAATAGTATAACTTTTGGATATGTAAAAAAAAGCCTATTGATGCAATTCAACAGTGTATAATCTTCTACGCATCTCAAGTTCACATTTAGTATTGGATACAAATCACATAAATTGTCGGTCGAACTTGTTGGTAAGCCGTTTTTAC